AAGCCTAATCTTAAAAGTAGAGATAGTGTCTGTCTCCTGAATCCAAACTGGAAGCTGGTTCCATAGAAGAGGAGCCTGAAAACTGAAGGCTCTGCGTCCCATTCTACTTTTAAATACTCTGGGAACAACAAGCAAAGTGCTCTAATGGTACTACAAGGTCATTAAGATAAGATGGGGCCTGATTATTTAACACCTTGTATGTGAGGAGCAAGATTTTGAATTCAATTCTGGATTTAACAGGGAGCCAATGAAGGGAAGTCAATACAGGAGAAATATGCGCTGTGTTTCTAGTCCCTGTCAGTACTCTTGCTGCAGCATTTTGGATTAATTGAAGGCTTTTCAGGGAGTTTTTTAGGACATCCTGATAATAATGAATTACGGTAGTCCAGCCTAAAAGTACTAAATGCATGAACTAGTTTTTCAGCATCACTCTGAGACAGGCTATTTCTAATTTTAGATATATTGTGCAAATGGAAGAAAGCAGTCTTACATATTTGTTTAATATGTGCGTTGAAGGACATATCCTGATCAAAATGGTAATGCCATCCAGAGTAAGACTCTGGTTAGATACCATATTTAGGCCGAGTACAATAACCTCAGTTTTATCTGAATTTAGAAGCAGAAAGTTTAAAGGCCATCCAGGCCTTTAAGACATTCTTGCAGTTTAACTGATTGGTGTGTGTTGTCTGGCTGATGTTATCTGGCTTCATCAATAGATAGAGTTGGGTGTCATCTGCATAGTAGTGAAAATGTATGCTATGCCTTCTGATAATACTGCCTAAGGGAAGCATGTTTAATGTAAACAGAATTGGTCCTAACACTAAACCCTGTGGAACTCCATAATTAACCTTATTGTGTGAAGAGTTCTCTCCATTTGGTAAATGGACTGGTTCTTATATAGCGCTTTTCTACTCTGTCGGAGCACTCAAAGCACTAATGCATTCACCCAATCACACCTTCTTAAGTGCTAAGTATCTAACATTCATACACATTCACATTCACATTCCGATGGATGCATCGGAGAGCAACATGGGGTTAGTATTTGGCATGTAGACTGGAGCAGCCTGGGATCAAACCACCAACCTTCTGGTTAGTGGCTGACCTACGCTGCCACCTGAGCTACAGCTACATGAACAAGTTGTCTATTAGATAGATATGATACAAACCAAGAAACCATACCCATACCCATATTACCTACAGCATGCTCTAATCGTTCTAATAGGATATTAT